CCACCGACCGCTGGCCGCTCACGCAAACCTCAGCGCGTCGATTGGTGAATACTGCCCGTTGTTATGTACACGGTCAGCGCTCTCCGGCGCGTGGGTGTACTTCTCCTCACGGATCCGCAAACCTTGCTAGCTGACCAAGTATTATATATCAAGCAACAGACGGGGGAGGAAAAGGAATGCAGGTCGTCATTAGCATTTCGATTTCAAGCACGGTTTCATCATCGGGATCACGTGGAAAGCGAACAGATTGACATCTTCATATTCATTCTGCTCATGGACAGAATTGAATCAGCACGTATGCACTACGAGAGCTTTTGTGTTATTGGAAATGTATGCATGCACTATCAATTGATACAAATCACTACCCGCACATTTTCTCGAGGTCTTGGATCCAACCTTTGGTCGCAGAAAACCATAGCCGGAACCAGCGACACGCTGTAATGATGTGCTCAAAGATAAGGATGCTTGAGCGCCAAAGGGGAGCGCGAAATCTATCTCTGAGTCACTTTCTCGGTGCAGCAACATGGAGTGAGTTGGCAGTGTCTAAGCCTGTGCAGCCCCTTTGGCAGATAAAGCTCCCTGGGTTGTAATGCAGCTGGCTACGGTGTTTTGCTTAGACGGCTATTTCACTTCAGCCCAGTCTCGGCAGAAAGACCACCAAAGGTAGCTCCGTAAACAGGTAATCTGTTATCAAACAGCAATGCACATTTGACAATGGGCTCATCCAGCATTGTGCCAACTGTTTTATTGGAGCTGCCTATAGCCGCTGGCCCCGGTTCATCGCGTTTGTTATCTAAAGGGGGTTATCCCACCTTTTCTGTACTTTCCACCTGTTGCTAGGTCAGAGGCGTGCGATTTAATCTGTGATGGCAGTTTTTCAAAGTCAAGAATAACTCAGAATTTCGCTTTGAAATAGCCACTCCCGCGGCAGAAATCTCATTTGACTCCGTGCTCAACACTCTGAAAGTGATGCATTTCATTTTCTTTGCTTTTCTAACGAGTGTGTTCTGTAATGTGTGTGTTCTGTAATGCACACTAATGTGACAAAATGTTTGTATGATAAATACCGCGAAAGCACGAAAAGCTGTCACGACAAAAATATTTGCGGACATGAAGCTATCACATCGCGAATTAAACGAAACGTTGTACTATGGCTTTGATTGGCCCCTTTTGTATGGCGTTTACCACAGTGGCTGTTCACGAGGCGGACCTTGACTTTGGGAATGGGAGCGTCAAATGATCCATAGCACTGGCTCAAACTCCAACCAACCAAATTCTCGGAACAGGCCGTTGCCGCCCGCTGGGCCATTCACAAGCGTTCTTTTATCCGCACCAGCACAGGTCCGCACGGAACTCGTCATGATGGTGGTCGCGACTGCAGGGATGAAGCGTAGCACTGTGACAAAGCTTACAAAGTGTTGACAGTGGCAGTTGGATTGACAAATATTTGACTGGATAACCCTAATGTGCTTAATGCTCTTAATGGTGCTGCAGTGGCAGCACTCAATGTTATTATTCGACCAACTGGTTCTGAGGTTTCACTACTGGAAATTTTTTAAACATGCTCCAAAGGAAGGACACCATTTAAATGCAGCCTACAGTGCATTGCATACTACTACCATCTGCTGCGCAGCCTAGAGTTGACAGCGTGGCGAGCCAGGAATTTCATCAATTTCATTTGGCCCTAATAACAATGCAGGTAACAATTTGACAACGGCACATGTGCCCGCAGGCTACCATTAAATAAGACAGTGCCTGCAGGGGCCCGTTACAAAACGATGGAGTTCCTGCTGTGCCACGTGACAGCAATCCGCCCACAACGCATCGCAAATACGACCATTGAGGATTTATGGGTTCTGACGAAGGGGAGGGTGAATAAGTGGTTCAGTGGCACAGACGGCTGCGCAGCTGTTCTCCGCGCCACCGACCGGCTGCAGCTGTTGTATGTGCCACCGAGCGACTGCAGCTGCTGTCTGCGCCGCCGAGCGGCTGCAGCTGTTGTCTGTGCCACCGGGCGACTGTATCTGTTGTCTGTGCCACCGAGCGACTGCAGCTGTTGTCGGTGCCACCGAGCGGCTGCAGCTGTTTTCTGTGCGCAGCTGTTGTGGTGGCACCGGCGACTGCGCCGCCACATCCAGTAGACGATCAAGCGTATTGACGGGGAAGTTTCACGCATGATGATGTGGGATATGTTGTGATGCACACGCCGAACTGCGGACAAGTCGGTCAAAACTAAGATCCATCGATATGACGGCCACGTCATTGTACGCCTGCCCGTGTGCAAACGTTTTCAGAATTGTATGTTCCACAATTACGGCAGTTCTTAAGCATGACATGAAGCATGAAATTTGTCGTGGATTTCAACATCTGATGTCTGTGGAATATGGTGGGGCATAATTCAGTATCAGTCGAATTAAGACTGGCAACGAAAAGGGCTGCAGGTACTTTATTTGTCTTACCTTTCTACAAATTCATCGCAAACTTGATGTATTGTCAAACAGGGGCGTACACAGGGTTTAACAATTTGGGGGAATGGCGCAACTCCAAAACGAAGACTGAGTTAAGCGCACCGCAGGCGAGCGCATTTTCTTGCATGCCATAAAAGAATATTGCACGTTCTTGATCTTTGCGTTTTCCTGTGTCTACCTGGAAATTTAGCGGTCAGTATTCAGTTGCGTACATTTTAACGCATGCCATAAATTCATTAAGGGGAGATGCCTCTGGAGGTTAACCTGTATAAACACCCCCGTTTTCGTTTTAATCGAGTATGTGCTGCACAAGCCGCAGACCTCACTTGGTGCTCCGGGTATACGCACTCACGAAAAAAAACTTATTTTAGCACGACCACGATCACAGACTAGGGGTAATAAGATGCGGACGCCACTCTCCACATTTGCGATTAAAAGCTACTGTTTTTAGTAATCATGGGATGTGCAGGATTCCAAGCAGTATACTGGCGGTAATGGGTATAAAGAACAATTCAGTGACATATCTTCTATCCGACTGAAGGCAAAAGTGTGTCAAGGAATGAAATCGACGCACTTGATGTGGAGTGATCCAGCGTGAAAGAAATATCGGCGTGTTGGAAATCGATTTTTGCGAAGGAGTCTGACCACGAACACAGGTTAAAAATTTGAAGCGTTCTCAATATAACCAATACTTGCTTACTTTTGTCGTTTAATCAGTGCCTCCTCACCAACTGAACGTCAGTTATTTTCAGCGAACTCCTAGCCCATTACTCAGCCGAAACATTACGAGCGCATGGCCTGTCTACACTGACCTCAAACTCATCTCAAAGCACTAATCGAGCAATTTATGAAGACGGCAGTTCGGGCGACCCGTCCGGTCACCAGCCTTTACCATCTCCGTTCTTCAGCTCGGCAGCGCGTCTGTTGTGGTCGAATGAGTTCAGTTTCACTTTAATATGTATGCACTTCCTGGCAGTGCATCTGATACATTTTTCCGTAGCCTCTCCACGGAAAATGCATCATGTGCACAGTTGTCTCTACTTTGCACGTGTCAGAAACGGCGTTCTGCACGAAGTTTCTGGCTACCTTCCATGAACGGCTACGGTCTCACATGAATCTGAAATGGGAAGCAATTCGTCCGTTAATAAATATCTTATCGGTCAAATGTGAAGAAACAGCCGAATCTTTGGCATCGGGAACACAGACTGAGGTGGTCAAAATCCAGGGAGAGGCCAAGTTCCAGGGGGGTGGGTAGGTTACGTCAACCTTATCGGCTGAGTCCCCCCAACCATTTTAGATTTAAAAGGTGGCACCCCTGTGGTGTGGTGTGTGTTGGTGTGTGGTGTGTGTGTGTGTGTGTGTGTGTGTGTGTGTGTGTGTGTGTGTGGTGTGTGTGTGGTGTGTGTGTGTGTGTGTGTGTGGTGTGTGTGTGTGTGTGTGTGTGTGTGTGTGTGTGTGTGTGTGTGTGTGGTGTGTTGTGTGGTGTGTGTGTGTGTGTGTGTGTGTGTGTGTGGTGTGTGTGTGTGTGTGTGTGTGTGTGTGTGTGTGGTGTGTGTGTGTGTGTGTGTGTGTGTGTGTGTGGTGTGTGTGTGTGTGTGGTGTGTGTGTGTGTGTGTGTGTGTGTGGTGTGTGTGTGTGGTGTGTGTGTGTGTGTGTGTGTGTGTGTGTGTGTGTGTGTGTGTGTGTGTGTGTGGTGTGTGTGTGTGTGTGTGTGTGTGTGTGTGTGTGTGTGTGTGTGTGTGTGTGTGTGTGTGTGTGTGTGTGTGTGTGTGGTGTGGTGTGTGTGTGTGTGTGTGTGTGTGGTGTGTGTGTGTGTTGTGTGTGTGGTGTGTGTGTGTGTGTGTGTGTGTGTGTGTGTGTGTGTGTGTGTGTCTGTTAACAGACATGCATTTCTTACAGAGCACACTTACCTAGTCAAAGCCCATGACGAGTAATCCTTGATTGGAATGGTCCTCGAAGCCTGCCTTGCTCCACGCGACACCGATGTTAACGATAACGGCGCGCCACATCATCCCACGCCCACGATCGATCCGCGCGTTTGCCAGGCCTGGTGTAACCCCAGAACTTAAAGGTGAACTAAAGACATGGACTGAAGGCACGCATGTCTATGAACCAGTTCATTTGTGTTATAAACTTAGTTCAAGTTCGGTAATCGTGTCTTAGCTACTGAATATCCACGCAATTTCATGAAAAAATTATTTTGTTAGCTGATGCATCATTAAAAAATTTGTAAACATTTTAAAAAAACTCTTATTAAAAAATTCAGGCCAGCAATTATTCATGAAAACGCCTAACATGGTGTCTCCGTTTTTGTCTAATTTCATGATTATCACCCGAACTTCACGGTTACCTAGACCACGCCGCTCCACCATTCCATGTCTGTTCCGGCTCCAGTGAGTAGTGCACTGTCACGCGGCTCGACGTTTACCGAGTCTCACAAATCATTCTTTGGAGCTTGAACCTGCATTCTTGTATGCAGCATGTTACGGGTCTCCATGGAATATCCTGTCATTCGTTCACAAAAGCGTTGTGCCAGCAGTCATTGTCTCCTTTACTGACTTTATTCACCATATTGCAGTTTTCCCCAAATCCAGCGTTTAGCCACGATCAAATCTGTTCCAAGCCGTGTACGATCATAAACGCAACACCAGCCCCATCCTCCTCTCCTTGCAACTGGTTTCCATCCGTCGGCACTCGGCACATTCCACACTGGAGCGGCCCAGAATACCGTACAGGGATCCACGTCAGCTACCACGGCGCGGACCAGCTCGCCGTGAAGAGGCTGCCTCCGACAGGCGGCGTCGGCGGCGACGGTCGACGGTCGAAGGCTGCCGGCGGGAGGCGGGCGACACGGCCGGGAATCTCATCGACGCTGGGCTTGGCCGGCGCACCGACGGGGGCCGGGGTCCGACGGCAGGGACTGGGGTGCCGATGTCAGTCAGGCGCTAGAGCCTGCTGTCGCCGTCGGAGCACTTGAAGGCGATCGCCTCGATCTCCACCATCCCGCCCTGTGGACGGTGCGTGGATGGTCAGCGCCGGCCCAAACAGACGCCGTGACGACCGTGACGGCCCCGCCGCGGCAATGTCGTGACGCCGTCTGCGGGACAACTGTCCACTGTGTACGGGACCTCGCCGTATGCGGCGCCCCGTGTACGGGACCTAGCAGTGCACGGCGGCCCGTGTACGAGACCTCGTAGTGAACGGCGGCCCGCGTACCGGACCTCACAGTGTACGGCGGCCCGTGTACCGGACCTCGCAGTGTACGGCGGCCGTGTACCGGACCTCGGGGGCCCGTTGTACCGGACCTCGCAGTGTACGGCGGCCCGTGTACCGGACCTCGCAGTGTACGGCGGCCCGTGTGCGGGACCTCGCAGTGTACGGCGCCCCGTGTACCGGACCTCACAGTGTACGGCAACGCGGCCGTTCACGGATATGGCAGCCCTCGGCCCACGGTATCAGCTGAGCATGATGGAGGTCACTGAGTCTCAGGCAGACGATCCGTAACAATCTTCAGTATCTATCAGCTTTAGTCAACATTCTAGTAAAATGAAGTAGTTGTCTTCCATTCTCAGTGTCCGTAGGGTACATACTGGAAATACAGTATCAAGCTCAATTGAAAGATGCATGTGTGTGCAAACTATGCCGCAGTTATTGAGTTTAATTGAGCGACTATGGTAAGCAGGGATGAAATTTTGTTTAAAAGTCCAAAATGTTTCGTCGGGAGGCAGATACGCTTTGTCACCATAGCTCATGACCTCAGGCTAGTAGATGGAATCATGACTACTGCTTCCCCCCCCCCCCCCCCCATCTCCAATGGCGCCTCATCTTTTGTATGGTTTCAAAAGTTCGCCAGCGTTCCGAAATACACCACTCATGTTAAAACTACTGGCGTACGGCCTTGTCAAAAGCCAGCGATCACATGAACCTAAACATTCCGGCCCTATTCAATATCTAACCTTGTGAATGAGATGTCCGTGGCCAGATCGCCTCATGCCTTTCGGAACGTAAAAAACATCCGTGTACAACATGGTTTCGCCCAGATCACTCCACGGAGTCGGCCATGTGGTGCACTGCCAACTTATTCGCCTACTACACGGACCGAGGCCTTGTTACAACACTGACAACGACGGATACATCGAACGCGTTTGATAATGCTTAGCATTCCCAGCTCCTGGAGGATGGCACGGGATTGGTTTTCACTGGTTCCGCGGTTGACGGAGGGCCGTTCACGTGTCGTAAGATGTGAAATGCTAATCCCGGTTACGAACGTTGAAGATCAGAGAAGCATCTTATTGCTAATGTTCTTTTTCCTGTGTGATAACGACCTGCCTTCTTATATTTACGGAGGTTATCTCATGTATGCCAACGACCTTCAGTTTTTTTTCGACGCAGATACTCCGGTCAGCGTTGACGGTCTTCGTGTTAGGGTGGAGACTATGCAACTATTGCCAGAAACTAATCAACACCAAAACATCTCAACACTAATTCTCGCAAAACTGCTTTTTACTAGTAAAATCACCCCCGTTTCATCCAGACGAAAAAATTTTGGTTCCCCTTGTGGCGGTAAAAAATAAAACCTTCAGCTTCCGCCAAGTTGCTTATCTCACGGTGAATTTCAACCAAACTTTGAAATACCACGTATCTGCCCCTGTAAAGCGCCGTTCTAATATATATATATATATATATATATATATATATATATGTTTCAAAAAGACAACCTGTTCATCGAGCGTAGCCTTTCAGCGCTCCACCCCACAATAAGTCGCCTAGAGCTCCGGATAGTCTGCATAGTCTTGTGATACCGCGATCTGACGTGTTTGGCAGTACCACGCGAGGTCCTGAAAGTCTGCTGCCACTCCGCGTGTCCGTACCGAGCTCGCCGCAGACCCTTCGTGCGCTGAGACACTGGTGCATGGGATCAGCTGCCCCCAGATGTTAGAAGCGTACAATTGGCCAAGCTTTCCCATGCGCTAATCTGGCTACTGTCGGATCACACATCGTGCAGATTAGCTGCCTTTTTCCAAAATTATAACTGCGCCGCCATTTTGTATTGCCTGATGTTTTGGCGGCAGGGGCTACTTCCATTATCTGGAAGATTGGAAGTTACGTTGCAAAAAAATTATAGATAAATAGCCGCATGGATTTAAACGCACATGCATGTCCTGCATATGTGCTTTCATTACGGCGGATCCATTCTCTGCGCGTATGCTGCAAACTGGCTTGAATCAGGCCACTGAGCTCACCTTAGGCAGTGCTGCCACTTGGTAGGCCGCCCGGGCCGGAAAATCACTGGTGAAAACTGGAAAATGATATCACAATCACTGACATATCGCTGGGCGGAGCACTGTCGCGAGACCGCACAACAGGTGACGTGCCTCACGCCTGAGCCCACGGCACGCGCCCGCACGGCACGTCTGCCGCCCGCCTGGCTACTGATGCATACAGCACCCGACCAGCAGTGTCGGCGCCGTTGCTTGCTATTGTCACTGACATGACACTGCTTAGTTGAGACTCCCAGGCACTATCGAAATCGGGCTCCTCTAGTCTCACCCTGCCCCGCAAACTGAGGTCTCATGCCAGGCATTTTGTGTTATGAGAAGTAAACAAACAACTAACTGCATGCAGCCCTATTCCAGATCGGCTCCACACCAACGCCTGCCCATGTCTATGGTTCCCCCTTCGCCACAATGAGTGCATTGTTCCGTCCTCCAGGCGCCTGCCACTTGTACGCGAACCGGGTGCTCGCCGCGCTGGGGTGTGGATGAACTCCCTGAGCCTGTGCAGTGTGTCAGCGCTGTGATTGCCCTTCCCCCACCCCTCCCCCGTCAGGGATTCGGCAGACGGCCGGGTATGACGTCACGTGCCGGCTGTCAGAGCCGGCCATGGTTTCGCCGCTGCGATCTCGCCGACTCATGTGGGGACCGCCGCGTCGGCGAGAGTCGATGACGCAACGCGTGGTACTGCGGCGCCGGAGAGCAGTGGGGCGGCGGACGGGGCCGGCGGACCGGGGGGGGGGGGGGGGGGAAGGGGGAGGGCCAGGGCGGTTTTATAAACACGATCGAGGAGGAATGGTATCAGCAGCCGCCTCCGGTCCGCTTACATGTCTTGTAGACTTCGTTGACTTTGGAGAAGTCGTTCATGTCGGCGAGAAGAACCGTCGCTTTAACGACTGGAACAAAGAAAGGCGTCGATCAGGTGGGCGCGCGCTGCAATGTCGCCGACATCCAGGGCAGGCTGGGTAGGACAACAATGTAAAATACATGCAATTTGTTGAATGCATCGGAATGATCCGTTCTGGCGTTAAGCTATAAAACAAGGTGACGACACTGAGGGTAGTACGCGCAGTCGTAAGTATGAAGGTTACATCGAGCCCCTCATTAGCAAAAATCAATTTACTGTGCATATTTGCATTTGGACAAATTTAAACAGATTTGGACGGATAATTTCATCAAAATATCGAACCAATAAAACGCAATGAAAGGAGGACGGGTGGAGAAGAGAGAGTGCGATGAAGAGCAGACATAAACGTGTGCAATTGGTTCATTCGAAGGAAACGTGGACTCAACATATTTTATGTGACCATCCTCACCGTCCGCGTGCCGGTCTGCCACCCTCGCCGTCCGCGTGCCGGTCTGCCGCCCTCACCGTCCGCGTGCCGGTCTGCCATCCCTCACCGTCCGCGTGCCGGCCTGCCGCCCTCACCGTCCGCGTGCCGGTCTGCCACCCTCACCGTCCGCGTGCCGGTCTGCCACCCTCACCGTCCGCGTGCCGGCCTGCCACCCTCACCGGGCACCCTCACCGTCCGCGTGCCGGTCTGCCACCCTCACCGCCCGCGTGCCGGCCTGCCGCCCTCACCGTCCGTGTGCCGGTCTGCCGCCCTCACCGTCCGCGTGCCGGTCTCCCACCCTCACCTTCCGTGTGCCGGTCTGCCACCCTCGCCGTCTGCGTGCCGGTCTGCCGCCCTCACCGTCCGCGTGCCGGTCTGCCATCCCTCACCGTCCGCGTGCCGGCCTGCCACCCTCACCGGGCACCCTCACCGTCCGCGTGCCGGTCTGCCATCCTCACCGTCCGCGTGTGTCATGCCGGCCTCCTGCAGGATGTGGCCCATGTTCTCCAGCGCCTGGCGCGTCTGCGCCTCCACGCCTTGGCACAGTTCTCCGGAGGTGGCATCGATCCCCAGCTGGCCGGACACGTACAGCGTGTCGTTCACCAGCACCGCTGGCTGCGGACGCGGAACAGATATGTCCCGTATCTGTCCTCGTTCACCAACACCACCTGGCTCCGGACGCGGAACAGATATGTCCGGTATCTGCCCTCGTTCACCAACACCACCTGGCTTCGGACGCGGGACAAAGATGTTCGGTATCTGTCCCTCGTTCACCAGCACCGCCTGGCTCCGAACGCAGGACAGAGATGTTCGGTGTCTACCCCTCGTTCATCAGCACCGCCTGGCTCCGGACGCAGGACAAAAGATGTTCAGTATCTACACCTCGTTTACCAGCTCCGCCTGGCTCCAGACGCAGGACAGACGTGCTCGGCATCTGGCCTCGTTCACCAGCACCGCCTGGCTCCGGACGCAGGACAGAGATGTTCGGTATTTGCCCTCATTCACCACCACCGCCTGGCGGCGGAAGCAGGACGGAAGGGTTCTGTATCTACCATCGTTCATCAGCGCCGCCCGCTGCTGGGGACGGGGTGGTGCGACGGCGGTTCGGCCTAAGGCAGTGAAATACATTAAACGGCGTACAAGAAAATAAGGCGACGTAGAGACTGAAGATAAAACTTCGAACGTGAACACATTAGAACGCACTGAAAAATTTGATATAAAAACCTTCCGTGAGAGCTATCGACCGTAACGTCTTTGCTGATACTCCGATGACTTTGGACATTTATTAAGAAGGGATGAGCGGACGAGAGAATCTCAAGATTCCTAACAAAATCACGTTTTTTCATTCTACTGTGTACGCTTGAAACGAACTACATTGACAATCAAGGGGCAAAATCGCAATCGCACTTACATAGGATCTGCTGATACATACAACTAACCACACGGAACGCGACTGACATCAGCTCCCGACTGCTGGTTTTGGAATTGCGACCCCTGAAATCAACCTTAACTTCAGAGGGGCAGAGACAATTTTCGGCAAAGCTTACTTGCGAAAACAGAAAGCTCCACATCAAAAAGCACGTACGTTACAGCAAGCTTTCCGCCGGGCCTCATTATCAACCATCTTCTGCGGTACCCATGCAACCACTTGCTGACGACGTTTGCGTTGTGAATGTGTTTAGGTCCCACGCCAAAGTCCGCGTCCTTTGATACGACGAGTGCAAGTCCGAGCCCACCGGCCATTATCAGGCGCGTATCCAGACCAAACTCCCAGGGGGCACACCAGAAAACCAACAAAAAAGTGGACACTTTGTGAAGTATAATTAATTTTGTTCTGGCTGCAACGAGTTTAACCAACGCTGCACTGAACGAATTTTTAGCCTCTGAAACTAGCTGGATTACCTTTGGGAACGGACGGGATGAAGAGTACATACAAATTCGTTACAAATACGCGGGAAAAAACGTTGTAAATGCCTTGACCTAAGAATGCTGCATGGCGCATGCGAGCATCGTGGAAATGACAGCCCAAAACAACAAAATGACCAAACGATGACACCTTATCAAATTGCTAACTGTCGCTTTATGAACTTTTTTGTACGGACAACCTTCTGTGTCGGAATGTGCGTTGGCTACTGACCGATTCATGAAATGAATGGAAGCACCCACTTTGCACAAAGCGTGAAAGTTCATAGGTAGTGGCGACTTTTCCAGTTATCTTATTGCTTCTCAAGGTCTTTTCATTAAAATCAGCGAATTAAAAATTTGGTGGGAGGTCGCGCTACGAGCTAACAAACTGTCTTTTTCCACACACAAAAAAAACGCTTAAAATCGGACAAATTTGCTTCTAAATAAGTGAACATCTACTCTATTTACTGTATGCAGGTGGCAGTACCGTATGGATGAGTTATATGCCATCCTTTCATACCCATTCATTGATATGCGCCGGCTAGTTAGTAAAATTCTAAATGTCCTGCAAAATGACGCTTTCATGCGCGAGTACATGCAAAACGATTGCGCAGACACTGGGTGTCCTAATCAATACTCCATTTGATAGCTATGCAACTGTTGATGCCTAGCTACGCCAACATTTTTCAAGGTCAAGTTAAGTCATGTCACGACAGAACACGGCACGTTTGCCTTAAGCCATTCTCTCCTGAACTTTCCACTGGTAAGTCCTGGTCTCTGCGGGTTCCGCCGTCTCTGCAGATTTGATTCCTATTCCGGATTGAACCTCGTTTCGCTTGCAGGATTATCTCCGGGACTATGTTTTGTGAATTTAGTACACCACGGTTGCAAGTTTTGTGATGACGTGCATCAGACGGAAACATTGCATTACATGTTCCACAGGTTAAGCGAGGCTTTGCTACCGCACGCATACCGCACGAGTGTGCTTTTAAGTACAGAGGCTTGGAATTTGACATTTCCAAAGCTAAATCAATTTTAATAAAAAAAAGTATGCTCGACGAGTGGCCGAAACCGCGGGAAAATTTTAATGAAATAGGAAGGGAGCACTGCCCAGGGACTTGGAGAACAAAGAACTTATCGCGTAAGATTTTCCTCACCAAATCCATCCGCTACCCCTGCGGCTGTGCCCGCAATAGATACCTTCACGGGTGAGACTTCCTTACCCCGATCCTCTCGTTACCCATTCGTTAAGCATGCTCATACCTTGCTCTCAACCAGCCGTCCATGTAGTTATGACCGCCCGTTACCCACTCGTTTGCATTTTCCCAGGCATTTCATTTTACATTATGAAAAATGTAAGAAGAAACGTTTGAATTCATCTTTACGCTGATGCGTACATAATTGCAAAGAAGGTACGAATTAAGCTAATCATGTCTTGATAAAGCGCCAGCAGCAACACTGCGAAGTGTTTCTTGCAGAATCCAAAAGACATTTCGTAAACGTCTCACCCATATCAGAAAAATAGCTTGACCAAAATGTGTATCAATCCACCCTGTTACCCACATCACATAGTTACCATTGGGTTAAACCAACCCATGAAGTCCTCTAGCGCACACTTACCTGTTGCCCTTCCATAATCAGTCCTATCTACACATTACTCATCCATTCGCCACGTTACAGTACTTAAGCTCTAAGCAACAAAAATGTCTTAGAGAAGCTTCCGTGCGCCCCGACATCTCAGTTGGTTTGTGCTTCCATCCTCCGATTCACCAATCCGTGGTGGGCTGAGTTCGAGTCCCTTTATTTTTTTGCCATTTGCCCCTGGCTGAGATGCTCCGCGGCACGAAGCAGCAACCGCGCTGAAGTTCAGGTGGCCATAGACGGATCGTGCCGAGTAACGGGAGACGGTTAAGTTTTCGCCGTAAAAATCATGACATTGACCCGGAATTCTACGATCGGACGGTGATCTCAGTCGTCACGCAACAAGCACCGCTTAGCGCGAACACTGATCCCAAAAATCAGTCTATTCAAAGAGTTTAGACTAAACCATAAAAACGAAATAGATATTTCGTCGAGCCCAGGCACAAACTTCCTGTTTTGCATTAATAATTGCAAAAGTGAGATGCATGAACCTAATAATGAGGAAAAGAAGCGCAAGCAGTCAGATCGCGTTATATTTATTTGAGACATCCGCCTAATATTTCGTAAAAGTCTTATCCATACTCGTGCCCACTTATATAATTTTCCAAAAAATTCATACAAGCCCAAGCCGCTGCCCGTTCCATGTAGGTGCCTATGGGTTTGTCCAGTCCGTTCATTTTCCTGTTGTCGAGCACCCGTATTCAGAACTGTCGAAAATCTAGACAAAAAGAAGTAAAAGTGGCCCGAAAAGTGTCTCAGAGTTCATAAAGAAACTTCGCCCTTAAAATACGTCGATCGTAATCCCAATGCACGTGCATAACATGGAACATCCGATAGTTGTCTCCTTAAATCTATCCGCTCTAATATCGCTTGGTTGTCAGGGAAATGTGGAGACACTTAGAGTTGAAAAGAAGCCTCTGTCCACACGAAGAATTAGGCCTCAAAACGCAACCCCGACAACTGATACGTGGTTTGAGATCGGTAACAAACCTGGTATGAGTCAAGTGCTAACTCCAACGCTTTTCCGTTACAATTGTCGCAGATCTAACCGCGGGGAAGAATTGCATCCAGTCGTGAAATCCCCCGCCGTTTGTTTAAGGGAGCACTGAATGCGGCTGGGGATGCGCTCCAGATCCCGGGATCCCCCGTTAGACACGCTAGACCCGGGGCACCGGCCCAATGCACGCCACTGGTACGCACCCGGTGTAGCCACTGGGTGCGTGCACTACACCCGCATGCAGCCAGTAGCAACACATGCAGCCAGTTGCTACGGGCCTGGCTATTCTGAACGTGAGTCAGTCTGAATCTTACGGCTCAAGTTTGAGTCCTAGAACCCTAAGTCCTAGCCCGATGTTCTTTGGTCTGAATCAGGGTACGAGCTTTTCTATTCATCAGCGCAGAGTCCAGAGCTGTAAGCCCGAATCCCAGGACCCTGGTAACCAGTCCTGTTATCTTGACTTTGAATCTGTGCTGCGATAGGAATAGCCTTCTGGACATTTAAAATTGGATGTTCCAGCGACTGGAGGGCGGAAATGAGGTGGATTCCACCAGGGCAACAAATATTGTTAAATATTTGGTGAACATGATGAATCAGGCCGGCGCACCGGATACTCGCGAAGCAGGCGTGCCTTCAAGGTTCCAGACAGGGGCAACCACAAGGACATTCTTTGGAGCAACAGGTACAAAGCATCGTGATGTTTTTCTTCTTTATCTTGAGGACGTGCGTTGAAGCATATGACTTATGGTGGGGAGTAACACGAAAAATGTCGACATTTATGTGCAACAAGTACTCCGCGCATCGCAAATACGTTTTCTAGTAAGTAGGACCGAGAAGAATGCGCCCCCGTAGGACCAAGCATTTCTGTTCTGCCAACTACTAAGATCGATTTCTTTCGTCATCATGGGGTCTTGAACGGTACGGGTTCCGGAAAAGACCAGCAAGTATGATAGGACCAGGAGTTGCGGTGGTCGGAGGCATGGAAAGCTTAGATTTTCCGGGTCGTCTCGCAAGGGACCATCGCCCAAATATCCACCTCCATGTATTCGCCCTGTTCATCAACCACCGATGGGCACATTATAGCAGACTAACGTTTACCGCCACGGGAACATTGCTTGCTTCACCCACGTTAGACCCGTATCGCACGCACAGTGCGGCTCAAATAGACCCCGATGAGACACAAGACATCAAGGTGCCTGATGCACAAGACATCAAAATTGTGCTCCGTGCCATTCGGATTTTGCGTCCTCTTCAAAGGATATTAACGAAGGGGGATTTGTTTATGACGCCGTGCAGGGGCGCATATCTCAGATGTCACTCAGACACGCCCACTTTTGCTGTATTCTCATTGGCCGCCCCAAGGTCAGCGTTTGTCGATGAGTCGGCGGAAT